AAAAATCTTGCCTGGCCTTTGGATGGATTTTACTGGTGTTTATCGCTGTGTGAAGAAGAAGTTCGTTGCTCGTTTGACGCTAGAAGAACTGATTCTCGTTGTGGTGAACAACCATCGATTCATGGTCGAGGTCAAGATTCCGCCGGAGGGGACTCTGGTCGCTGGAAAGTATGGGTTCACGCCCATCAAGCTGAAGGCGATCGCCAATCACAACCATTGGGCGACAAGGAATGTGGAAAACGCAATGCCTGAGATCACCCGATTGATTACGCTGGATCCGCAGTTCAATCAGAAGTGCTTCGTTGATGGCAAGTTCCCACAGGTCCCAGTCGACTATCTTGTGAAAGTCATAGAAGTGGAGCCTGCGATTGTATACCACTATACGCATAATGCGGTTTTGATGGACATCATCAACATGGGAATTTTGCCGGGTGGGCTGAAAGCTGCAAACAAGTTCAGCTTTTTGTCAAAGGAGGACCCATGGTCAATCTCCGACACCCAATTTGCATCCATGGCCGCAACACGACCGCTCTGCTTCGCATTGGATTTCAGGTTGATGATTGCAGAAGGACTGCGTGTAGTTGAGACAGCAGCCGGGGCAATTCTGTGTGCCGACTGGATTCCAAATCAGTTCGTTGTCTATGGCTTTGACATGTCATCCGGTTCTTTTGTCTACGCCAATCACATCTATGCAGACGAGAGATCCCGCTAGAATGATCAAGTTTCGAAATTTCGAAAGGATCGCAGCGGGGGACCGCTTGCCGGAGATGACGGACTACAGAACTCCAACTTCTTCACGTTGGTGACCAATATCCTGTCGGACTACCGCAGGTGGTGTGGTTTCATCAGGACCGATAGACCATACTACTATGATGACCCGATCCCGTTGACGAATGTCAAGGATCAGATGCGCACTGGTCCCAACAACCCTGATCTTGATGTGCTCATCCAATCGTACATTGCCAGAAAACCTTTTGGCAACGCCCCTTGGAACCAAATGAGCCCCATGATCATGGAGGACTATGAGGACTACCGTCGCTTCAACACTCGATCCTTTGACCCGCACAACGAAGGTGTGGGAAAGACCCTATGGGCTGTTGTCGAACAACGACTCATGCCAGAACGCCAGTGCAAAGAATGCAAGCACCTGTACACCTTTGGCATGTTGGCATGTATCAATTGCGGAGCCTACCTCCATCTGTCGTCAGACCTCGGCAAAGCGGCACAGGTGATACGGATTGAAGAGATTGCAACGAATCTTGGAATCGATGTCTCGCTTGACATGGTGCCCGATGACGAGCTCAGAGGATCTGGAGAAAGGCTTACGCCGGCGGGGACGCCTGGCCACGAGACTGCTCGTGCTTCAAGCAAGAGTCACGTCAAAAAGGCAGAGCGTATGTCAGTCACCATGATGCAGCGGCAACTCATTGACCCATTTTATGCATTCAACTGCGCAGCACAAGATTTGACACCATTATGCCTTGGGTTCATTGATAAGCTTGCCAATGCCGTGGTACCTGACCCGCCCAGAACGCGTGAAATGATTATGAAAGGCGAAGGACATCGGTACGCCGGAAAGATCGTCTACATTGCCGACACCAACATCGTTGGTGAGTCCGACCTTTCCCAAGAGTTCTTCGTATACTGGCGAAATCGCTTTCACCGACCAGAAGTGTTTGCAACTTTGTATGCGGACAGCTACAAGCACCCACCTATCTGTGGCTTTGGTGGCGAATGGAAGTCAGATCTCGAAGATCCCCAGGATATCCTCGATGATTTGCTTGCCTTCATGGCGGAGGACTTCGAACGCATTCCGGGCAATGCTTGACCATCGGAAAAGAACAGAGGTCTATGATTATTCCTCAGACCAAGGCAGGATCGTCGGCAGCCAAGAGCTTCGCTAAACGGCAGTCACAACACAGTGCTCATCAATATGATGCTCGTTGGGAGAACCGCGGACGCAGCTCACGAGACCAGTCTTCTTCATCTCAGAGCTGGTGGTCGAGTGGCTGGTGGCAGTCGGATGATCGCTCATGGCGTGATTCTGACTGGAGCCGCGGTGGTTGGGGGGACCATGACTGGAATCAGCGACGAGGCTGGTGAGAAGTCTTCGCACGGCGGGAGCCGTTGCCTTGGACAAAACCGAAAACCAAAAGAAAATACCAATGGCAGCACAGCTCCAACTCTTGCGAGGAGACCTCATCGCACCGCGGGAGCGGTTGCCTTCAAGCGACCGTTCGTCTCGTATGTCAGCTGACCAGCGCATGAGGTTGCGTGAATTAAAGATGGTATTTGATAAAACTCCTTTTCATCTATTGCTTGACCATGTTTGTTCGCCACGTGGGAGCGTGAGCCATGTAAAGGTTCCACTCGTGCTTTCTCAAAGGTGAACATGCCTTGGTTATCCGCACAGTGCCCAAAAGATGAGCTTTGGCTTTTGCATGTGAGTTGAGACAATTGAAGCTGGACATCACTGAAACTAAAGTACATTGTGCCTGACTCCAATGCCTCTGAGGTCTTCCTTCATCGGCTTCATCTCACAGGCGAGCCCCGGTCGTTTGCTCGTACCGGGGGACCGGTTGCCATTCGTAGCCGGTTGAATTCATGCACATTGTACATACTTCACTCCTCCGTATTTGCGCTCAGCGGGGTGTGCGGCTTCACGCTTGTGTACTGTATTCATGTCTCACTTCCTACTATGTTTGGCTCAAGGAAAACAGGCGCGTATTGCGGTCTAAGTAGGCTAATTGCCTGTATACACAGATTCACCAAGCCAGGAACAGTGTCAACAACTTCGGCTTTGCTTTTTGCGCCAATTCAACGCCCGATTTATGTCTTACACCGGTTTCACCTTGCATGTACACTCAAGAGTCTCTTGCTCGCTTCTCTGGTTGTTTGTTGTTTGTTGTTTTTGGGTCGGTTTGGGTTTGTGTGGTTTTTGCTTTGTTTTGGCACTTCTTGCAAGAGACTCTTTCAATAACAGCACAAGCTGACCTATGCATTTCCTGCATCAACGGCGGCTCCACCCGTGCAAAAAATTGCTACCTTTCAGGATTTGGGTTTCTTCGGCTGGCGTGTGGCATGTGGCATTCAGTTCCGTATGCACATCTATAAGTGTGTTGATACAGATGTTTTGTGCGAAACAATTTGTCCAGAAGAACCCTTTGCAACGCTCCCGGCAAAACAAACGGGTCGACAGTTTGAATCAATTCGCAAATTGCTCTGGATTTGGGTTCGAAGCAACTCAAAGTTTGAACTTTGGGTTGGCCTCTGCTCGGGTCTTTGGGTTGGAGTTTGAATGACTTCGATCTTCGAACCTCGGGTTGGATTTTGATAAAATTCGAACCTTGGGTTGGGGTTCTAAGTGGTTTAATTGTGTCCGGGGGCTAAATGATTTTAGTGTTGGCACAGGGTTTGTGACTGGCGTCCAGATTTCGGGCGGGGGGTTGGGGAGGCATGCGCAATGCATAAACCCGCCGCTTTCGTTCGACTTCGAACTGATTCAATCTTTGAACTTGGTGTTGGGGTTCGAATCAATTTAAGTGTTGAACCTTGCGTTGCCCCAACCCAGAGTTCATAGTGCAAATTAAGTCAAATTATGGAACTATGGGTGGACAAAACAGGACTAAGAAAACCAAACAGTTGATTGCTCGAACTAATTCAATCTTAGGTGGAGGGTCGACAAACCCTTACTAAAGAAGAAATCAAAATAGTTGATAGTTCGAATCAATTCAATTAGGGTTCGATTTCGTTCAATGTTTGAATCCTGCGGTTGGGGTTCGAATTAATGCGAACTTCTCAATTGGGGCAGAGCCTCCATGTAGAACATTCCTTTGGCTTTCGTGCGGACCATGGGCCATATACACCATAGTGCGCCAAACATGGCTGGGGTGAGGAAAAGGAACAAGTTGGATCAGTTGATAGGCTGCCAGGTTCTGAACCATCTGGAAAGCCTTGTGCTGCCAAGTCCAGCATCATTTTTTGTTTTTTGTCTCCTGTGGGAGCAGTTAAGAGTGTGGGAGCAAGCCCAAAGGCAGGCATTGTTTGAAGTCTCCAATGAACACTGCAGCGCTGGATCTCTTTGAGCTGGATCACCTTCAAGCTGCGATCTCGTACTTTGTTGCGCGGAATCCTCTAAAATTTATGAGCTGCAACGATTCCTGTTTTGCGAGCATACAATTCTAGTCCCAGCTGTCTCATACTTCGGACGCTTTGTTTCAACTCGGAATTTTCACAGCGGATGCGCAGTACATGGCACCAAGCGCACCCAGGGCACGTGTCCAACATTTTGGGTCTCTTGCGGCAAACACGCCTCCTGCCGAGAGGCCGAGAACGAACCGGCGAACCGCGCGAGGTCCTGTGGCGTCAGACCTTGTGTGTCAAGGTCTACCAGCTGTGAAAACGACGGTTTCGACGGTGGGAAAACTGAGAAGTTTCTGCAGGTGTGGATGTTTCGACCGTTAAGAGTGGGTGAACTTGCCTCAGGAGTTGAATGATCATGAATCATGATGGTACGCTTTTGGAATAAAGGATGGCACACATGAAGACGTGTGAAGATGCCCTTCTCATGAGAACACATCTCGTGTTGGTCTCGAAGTCATGTTGGCAGCTGGGTACGAATACTGCCGATGGATTTGTTACCTTTTTTAAGACACACACACACTGTGGACATGAGTTTTGCCTGATGTGCTTGATTGAATGATGCACCTTGATGGATGGACAACACTTTGAGGATCCGTCTTTGAACAAACACCAGTGGAATAGGGGTAGCCATGTAGGAGAAGCCTTTCCAGACCCGATTTTCACGTTGGATGTTACCATTGAGAGTCTCCCAAGCTGTGTCTCACCACTCGGCGAGACATGCAAGAACAAATGGACTGTGACTAAGTGCAGGGTTTCCTCAATCATACCAACCTTCCGTGTCCGGACCTCGGGTTTTGGGCAGTTTTTCGATCACGCGACGGGAATCGATCGAATATCATTTCAGATCGGCCAACGTCAAGGACTGTTTTGGGAACTTTTCGCGGCCGGTTCCGCGGCCGTGGACGCTGATGTGACGGTGCCACATGAGGGCTCGAGCTCCCGGGGCGCCAGTGTCCAATGCCTTGCTGCGCGAAACGGCGAGCAGTGCGGCATACGCCGTTGGAGCAGTATGCCAAGAGTTTGGAAGTGCAAGAGGCTGCGATTGAGGCTGATCCATTGGAGTTGTTTCCCATGTACGTTGTGCCCTTGGCTGCCTTTGGCCACCTCAAATGTCTTAGGAGTGTCATTTAATGTTTGGAGTCCACCGGAGATGGAAAATCAGCACACTGTTTTTTATTTGATTTTTGGGTCTCCATCCACAGCTGCGTCTCTCTTTGTTCACATGCCTGGCTCAGCCGACATGAGGTCCCCTTGGACGTGCTTCTGGACATGACGCAAGTTGTGCCACACGAGAACCTCAAGACTGAAGGAAAACTGCTGGAGTACGAGGAGAGCATGGGAAACGCAGCTTTCGTGTCGCACCAGTGGGTGGATCGTTCACATCCAGATCTTTGGCCATTTAGAATGCGTTGGGATGTTTTTGTGTAAAGCTTTCTGATGAATTCAGGTGTGTGTTTCTCCAAAGTCACAACTGAGTTCGGACTCCTTTTTTTTGTGCTTTTCCTACTGGACTTGTGGATTTCTTGGGAGAATAAGATGTGTTAACACGTACGTCTCTCACGATGACCACGTCTTGTTGTGTTGTTTCGGGCTCTTTTTCTGTTCGGGAACCGGAAGGTCTGAGACGGAGCTGAGGATCCGCAGTTCAAACAGCTGAGCGTCTTGCAAGATGCCTTGAGGAATGCCATGTCCCGGACGATGCGGGAGATCTCACTGGATGTGGTCACAGCGACCGTGATGCCAAGTACCCCAGCGAATTTCGGTGGGGATGACCCGGGGTGGGTGCCTTGAACCCGCCCCTAGTAGCGTTCTTGTTACTAGTAGCTACTTGCTCGTAGTAGTACGGCCAGGAGCGCCTAGTAGCTTCTTGTTCCTAGTAGCCATGCCAGGGGCCCCTAGTAGCGTCCTTGTCTTAGGTTGAGTTGCGTCCGTGGTTTGTTTTCTACAAGGTAAATGTTTGGGGATCTATCGCTAGAAGCTGGCGCTTAAGGAATTTGAGAAAGAAGTTTTGCTGGATTTTGCAGGGTCAGTAGTGAGTAGGGCGGTGGTCCTCAATGTGGTGAAAGGAGTGATGTTCAAAATGAACTTGCGTAGTCTTTTTGAATAGAATTTTCGAGAATTGGTGCTTGCAAGGTGTCTGAAAATTGGTTCCAAACGCCCGAACAGAGGACAATTTGATGTTCGCGTCCAATGGGTAGCGGGTAGCAGGTAGATGGAGAGGAAGGCTTATGAAGGCCTTGCTACACCCTCAAATAGAGAGAATCCAATCACGTAGGCTTTCTGCGCCTCTCATGTGGCGCTGGGCGTGTCATTCTTCTAAGATCGGAGATGGATGCATCTTGATCCTCTGAAACGCTCAATACAATGTTCACAACCCCGCAGGCAGACTTGGCAGTGTGGAAGTTCCGACCCAGAAATCTCTTTACAACTTTGTTCGTCACTCCAACGGCTTGGATGGCCAGATCCTCGGATTCGTCGTGTTGCTTCCCCCTTCGGCCCTTCGGCCCTGCGGCCCTTCGGTTTTCTCGATTGGACGAGGCACCAAGAGTCTTCCAACCTCAGAGTTGTGGTCCCGAGAGTTGTTTCTTTGGTATGACTCACTGCGGAGAAGAATATGTTTTTGTCTTGTTGTTTTCTTCCTTTTTCTGTGACCATGAATGGAGGTCAATTCCCCCTAAAATAGAAAAGTGAATCCTCCCGAAAGTGGGAGGGTTCAGCAAGTACACCCGAAGATCGCCAGTTTTTCAGGACTACTTCTCTTGCCCTCAGCTGGAACGCACCAACCGCGCGGCGATGCCCGCGACCACGTGCTCGAACACGGGTGAGAGCAACCTGTCGAAGGCCATCGATTCCATTCCCGCCTACGTCGGGAGATGTTCCTTGAAGAGAGCCCAGGGGCGGAGCCAAGACCGTGCAGGGCCGGGCGCAGGGGTTTGCGGGGTCACTGGTCAGTGCTCTTTTTGTTCGTTCGGATGAACCCGGGGGTGGTATATGGTTAAAGGCTAAAGGTCAACATATTTTCTTTCAGGTGATGGAGGACCACATATTTGTAAAGAAACCAGCAAAGCTGTGGATTTGTTTCAATTTCCATCCCACTACGTGGGAGCTGAACAGACACACCTGTTTTGTGATCAGCTCCAAACTTCAAACCCCACAAAAAGAAAACTGTTCCGATTGGACAAGGGACGTTGTTGTGTTTTTTCCCCAAACAGTTTACTGTTGGGGTTCTATCTTAGAAAAGAAGAGCTGGCCACACTCACTGGCCGCGCCCCTGAACTCTGTGGCTGGGCTCTGTGTCCAGGTCTTGTCCTCCTCTGTGGCCTGGCTCTGTGTCCGGGTCTTGTCCTTCTCTTGTCCTTGTCTTGGCCGCGTCCCTGAACTCTGTGGCTGGTCTCTGTGGCCCGGTTTACTGGAGAGGAGTCTGGCCGAACAAATAGCGATGTCAATGCCGACAAAACTTCATTGATGAAGCAGTTTGCTCTTGGGGTGAAGGTAATTAAGGCGTACCAAGAAATCATTTTTTAACTAATATTGGTCTAAACGAATCGTCTTGAAGCTGTTTGGGGTCTATGCTGGTATAATTTTACTTGTATTCCGGGTTACTTGACAATACACACATTACCGTTGCTGCTCTCCCTACATGAGTCAAGCACAAGCTTGTTTTGTCGTGAGTCGTGAGCTCCATTGGTTCCCTTCCACTCCCTTTGGCACGCTCTCCTCCTCAGCTGAGTGATGTATCTCTTGGTCGAATTACCAACCAACCACTTTCTCTCGAAAAAAAAAGGTCAAGCGGAATCCGTCCAAAACGCAAACTCCGGCTGCGCCAAGAAAACCACAGAAGGAACCATGCGGAGCGGAGATCTGCGGAGCGCCGCTTGGCCCAGGTTCCTTCTTCTTTGCGCTTTGCCCCGTCCTCGAGGATCCCACTGGGTGCCGTTTATTGACACCGGCGACCTGGGCGGAACGCGGATGGTGCCGCGTGGAACGCGCGGTGCGTGAGCTCTGCCCAAATGAGTCATGGATCATGATCAGGACGGAGATGGGAATCCGGAGTTTGAAAGCAAAATGATGGGAAGGTATGGATCCGAAGTGAGTGGCAGCCCTTGGTGGGGCGAAAGGAACGAGTCGTCGGGACCGGGTCATGGATCGCATGGTGTCACAGTCTTCCAACGAAGCAAGGGAGCAAAATGGCATTGGGTTTGGCGTGCTGAGTGTCCACAACACGAGTTTAACCTGCGGTTTTGCCCGTAGGAAGCCGCCTTGCGGGACCTGTTTGGTTTCGACGGTTTCTTGAGTGACTTGCTGCCAGCCCTATATTCCCAAAAACAAGCCTGGCCTCATGGCGATGGCAGCGCCCCTGCCTGCGAGGCAAACTCAGATTTTCGCAGCCACTCCAACCTAATAGCTTCTTGTTACTAGTAGCTTCTTGCTACTAATAGCGATGCACCTGCTACTGGTGTCCATGTTCACGCTCTTGTCGTGGGCAAGTTTCCTAGGCTGTGGAGCAATCTTTGCACAGTGCAACCCACAGCCGTCCCAGTGAAAAGTTAGTAGTTGCAAACCACCCGGCCACGACCTATTAGAACGGACATTTAAGGGATGGATCGAGCCCGCCAAAAAAGACATGCCATGAAGAAGGCCATCGATCTCACCTTCGTGTCAAATGGTCCACAGCGAACGATGACCGCTGACGACCGCTGCAAACATGCAGAAAGACTTCTCGATATGTTGTATGACCCGCTGAACCGCCAAAAAAAAGTCTTTGTCGTGTACAGTGTACAGGAACTGGTGGTCTTCTTGCCACGCCTCATGTGGGACGTGGCAGGCAAGAGAAAACCATGGTCAAATCCATGACCAACCAGGCGTCCCTGAGGTCCAGGGGAGTTTTCCCAGTTTGATCTCGAAGAGAACACGGGTAACGATCCAAAACCAGCGGAATTTTTGTAACACAAAAAAGGGTCTGCCAACCAGACAGGGTATGACTAAGCCCCCAAAAACGCGGAGGAGCGCCATCGACTTGGAATTAGTGGTGATCCCTGCCGTTAGCCCAGTGGGCTGCCTGGGCGGGCGTCCACCTGGCGAAGGCGACTTCAGTGTGGCTGGCGACCGGGTGAAGCTGCGGCCATTGTTGGTGGAAGCTTTGAAGCGAAAGCTGCTGCTCTTGCTGGAAGCACAGGACTCGACTGGATTGGACTTGCTTGTTTCATGTCAGTTCCGTCTTAAAGACACTCGATCCGGGGGCCCGACATCGGACCGTGAATCGGCCCAGGACTTGGTGAACTACCGGCTCTTGTTGAACTTGCAATCGGTTCACTTCCGCGGTTTTCCAGAGGCACGACCCTTCGAACCGATCCCGGGCTTCCAGGCGCAACCGCTTCCGCGCAGTGACCGGTTCCACAGCTTTCTGGACAGCTCCGAGGGCCTGCAGTCGGGAGGCGCGGGTGGCGCTCGACCGCTGCTGGTGGCGAGGCACGGTGGGTGGAGTTGGAAAAGCACTTACCGAATAGCGTTCTTGCTCCTAGTAACGAGGCCAGGAGCCCCTACTAGCATCCTTGCTCCTAGTAGCGATGCCCTTTATACTAGCGTCCTTGCTCCCAGAAGCGAGGTTTTCTTGGCCTTTCTTTTCATCATCAGTGGTTCTCACTGGTCTCCGAGTCTCCGAGTCTGGATCAACGATTGAAAAGCACAAGAATCGGCAATTCATGGCAATTTGGGCCTGAAAAACCAAAAAGAATGGTGTTCCATTCCTTTTCCCTTCTTTTCCGGCCAGGTTCCTCTACCAAAACGGTTTCCGCAGCGTCCACGAGACGGACTCGGCGGGCTGGTCGCCCCTGCACTATGCCTCGCTGCGGGGGTCTCCTGCCTTGATCCAAGGCGAGAGGTCGGGAGAGGTCGGGAGAGGGCAGGGCTGGTGGTTTTCATGGCGATTCTCCATCGCTTTCGGCAGGAAGGGGTGATGTGAACTGTGCGTGAACTGAACATGGTATGAAAGTCCAAGCTGAAGACGTGTTGAGGGCGCTGGGGGATGTGAGTTTCCCACATCGATGTCTATGTTTTCCTTTTTTTTGATGTTTCACCTAGCATCAGCAAGTCGCAGTCCACCTGGATCCGAAGTCGTCGATGTGGCCGACGTGATCCCGGGTCGGACGTCGTCTTCACTCAGATCCGACCGATGCCAGGATTGCTGTCGCTCAGAGCTGATCCCAATCGTTTGACCAAACAGGATCAGCCGCGCGTGGGATTGCCCCCGATGACCTCACCGCTCACCATTTGCGTCTGCCTGGCAGAGTTGATGTTGATCAATGGAAGTCATGTGCTGTCCGATGTTGATGTACTGAAGAACCGTTTGTAAAAAGTCGTTTCATGTTTTCCCAGCAGAGTTCACAGGTGCCCATGATTGGTTTGTCACCATGTCACGCACCTCTTAAATAGAGTTTCTGTAGCGACTTTGTTTCTTCCCTTTTGGACTGCTTCAAGGCCAAATGCAGGGCCAGGCAGATTCTTTTGGCAAACAACATTCCTCGAGGGATCAAAGGGAGTTGTTTCTTTGAATTCTCTAAGCTATGCTCTGTACACACATCCGTATTGACGTTTCTCCATTTTGTATGTGTTCCGTTAAGGGCCGCAAGCTCTTCGAGCTGTTAGTACGAACTCCCAGGTCTGCTTCAAACACAACCAGGCCGCCAGGCAGCTCATAGCTGCCCGTGCAAAGATCGATGTGCCTTGGCGCTTTCTTTTCGTTGCAGCACTGTGGGCCAGCCGGAGTGGAAGGAAATTATTTGGGCCCTTAGATTCCTCAAATACGACTGCGCAGACTTTGGATACTCATGAGTACCAGTGCTGCAAGAGACTTGTTTGGAGGTGAGTGTCTTTGCCATAAAGGGCTTGGGACCTGCTGTGTTAAAAGCCAAGCGCTGCTTTGTCCATTTTTGGTTGTGAGGGCGCGTTTAAGCATTACCTTGATACATGACCGTGAGTTATATAAATTTCCCCAAGCATCTGGGAGGCACATCATCAGCGCGAGCGCTTCTTCAAGGAAGCTCCCCCCGCCCTCCTTGGGTGCAGTAGCTTAAGTAGCTTGCTCGCTTTCTTAATTGAGTAGGCGCCTACTTCATTACTGTAAGTAGGAGCGGGCCCCAAAAAAGAGCTTGTGCGCACCTCAGAATCATGTTTAGTTCTTATTCCCACGATGCCGCGATGAGTCTTGATTGTTGGGAGGGCAGGGAGGAGCATTGCTTGACGGAATGTACCACCTTGTTTTTGATAGACCACCTGCCGGATCCCACTAGCGAACTCTCTGGGAAGGTGTGGGACAATTCCAGGATCTTGCGAGGTCGGTCTCCGCTTGGTCTCCAAACAGATCGGGACAAGATGGGTGATCGTAGTGTGGGAGGCATCCCCATGTGCCTTGCGTCGCAATCTGCAGAAGGATGTGACCCAGTTCTGCCCAAACTTCAGAGGACCAAGCCGGCTAAGAAGCCGACGTGGACGAACCATAACGAACCATGATGAAGCATGACGAACCTTCAACAAAGGCAAGATTGGTCAAACCTGATAGCGGCCTCCAACCTCTTCAGCGATTGGTCAAGCACTTCACTCCGGTGTCTTCAGCGCTTCTCAGGGCGGCTTGCTGAAACCCTTGGAGTTCGCCTCGGTCGGCGACAACCCCGAGGGTGTCCGCTTGTTGTGTGAGGCAGGACGTTTCTCAGGGCCTTCGGCTGTGGAATCGATGTGGTGACCACATCCTGGGTGGGTTGGGAAGAAAATGACTCAAAAAGAGCACACAAGAACAAAGCCTCCAAGTTAGAAAGAGTCCATCCATCACGCCATCTTTAGACAACCAAGCATCAATCACAATCAGAACTGTGCTGTGATATGCAATGATCTGTTTTTGAAGCTTCAGTACTGACTCGTAATAGACCAGACAGCATGACCAAAGTCTTCATCTCCAACTCCACGTTTTTTCGTTTTCTCAACACGCAGAGAGAGCCTAGGCCTAGGGGCGTCGTGCGGTCTCGGCGCATAGGCGGGCAGCTCGGTGCACTCGCGCAGCATCATGGGCTTCACGGCCCTGGAAATCGCCTGCTGCCGGGGCGCCATGGCGGCGATGCTGGAGATTGCGAGGCGCCTTTCTTTTTTCGGCGGCCTTTTTTTGAAGCAAAGCCGGTTGATAGGATGGTTGGAGGTCATTGCTAGTAGGTTGGAGGCCGGGCTAGAGATTTGAATTTCTATGACAGCTACTGTCAGGGTGTAGCTGGGAGCACATTCAAGTTTCCCCAGCCTAAGAGTCAGCTTCAATTGCGACTCGGAATTGGTTTACTTTGAAAGGCTCATCATGCATCATTGAAGAAAAAGAAGCTCAACTGTCTCCACCACCCGGTGAGGCAAGCAGGAGAGAACATGGACTTATCTGGTGCCCTCTGGTGCGCTTTAGCTCTCAAAGCTGAAGGAGGTACAGCAGGCATCGTCGAGTGGCTGCTGGACAGAAGAGCGGTGCCTTGGCACCAGTCGATGTCCCCCGGCCACCCTGGTCATCCTGGCCACCCTGCATGTGTTTGGGAGATTTTGGAAAAACATGTTTCCTTTGGTTTTCATTTGAACACATCACCCCTCCAAGGACAAAGAGAAGATCAAGGGCCCCGCAGCTGTGAAACACGTCAAAAACCGCCTGCTTCGCCTGCTTCTCCTCTGGTGTTCCCGACCGAGCGCAGGATGTGAATCAGTCACGGGATCCCTGGATGCATTCCTCGCTCTACGGGGCCCTGGCGTTGTCCAAAGCCTTGCAGCACCGCTTCGGGCGGCGGAGCAAGGCCACACGGCAGTTTTATCACATGACGCTTGGTCGGATGGGATGGAAGCGGAGATCCTGGTGACGATTACTAGGAAGTAATTTGTACTTCATAAGATGTTGTATACGAGCCTCCTTTTTGGTGTGAACTGACTGGTAGTCCATTCAGGTGCTTTCAGGCCTGGGTGGGTTCAAGAGGCCGAAGTTAGATCTGCTTTGGGCCTTTGCAAACAACCTGAGAAATTGTTACTAGGAGCGTCCTTGTTCCTAGTGTCGATGCCAGGAGCCCCGTTCGTAGCGTCCGATCGCTCCGTTCGTAGCGATGCCCTTTGCTCCTAGTAGCGTCCTTGCTCCTAGTAGTAAGGCCAGGAGCCCCTAGTAGCTTCTTGCTCAAGCTTGTAAAGAGATACCTGTGTCGATTCAGTTCCGTGGCCGCCAGTCAGTCAGCTGCTAGTCCTCACACCCGCAAGCAGCATAGTCTGTGCAGGTCGCTGTGTCTTCCTTCTATTTTGTTTCACGTCTGCAAACCTTCAGTATTTATATATGACCAATGAACAAATAATATGCAATGGAATCCACAACGTATGGTGCAACTCACGACATTTGCTCATTCCAATGTCTAAATGTTTGGTCCCACGTTGGTCCCACGTTGTCAGGACTGGCGCCACGCCTTTGGTGATGGCCATGATCGAGTCCCAGTACGAGGGTGCTGCGACGCTGATTGCTGCGGGTGCGCGGTCGCTTGGTGGAAGATGTATGTGGTGTGTGATATCGCTCATTGGTCCGAGTTAGGGGAATTTTGTTCTAGGTACTACTTAGTTACATCTTTGAGGGAGTAGGCTGCAGGGCATGTTCTCTATCACCTGACGCCTAGACATCAATGACCACTCCTCGTCACTTCCTCATCAGGAAGACCCTGCAACAGCTAGTCCCTTTGGTTCTCTGAATGGAAGTGGAATCAGCAAGACGAAAGATCGCCCTGGTTTCCTTCCGAGGTTGGACCTCCCCAATGCTCGGGGTTGCTGCGCTGCGGACTTCATCCGCGAGCAGGCAGTGCCTGACTTCTTGGCCCAGGCAGTGGAAGGCGTGGAGTTTTTTTATTTTTATTTTTGTTTATCCCCAACTAGGGCTCGAAACTCCCACGAAGGGATGCGAAAGAGGTTTTCGAGTCTTTTTGAGACATTTGCCGAGTGAGCAGGTTTTCGATCGTAGTTTTCCCTGAAAGGCAACCTACAAGAATGTAGAAGAGTATCGGCCTTGGCGCAAAGCCAGGGCCATGTTGAGCAGTCCTTCTGATGGATTGATGCTTTGATTTTCGTTTTTGCGCATGCCGCTTCTCTGATTTCTCGTATGCTGACGGACTTGCTCCTGAACGAAGGGCAGGATTCGCCTTTTCTTTCGGGGTGCAGGTTTCGCACAGAATTTGGGTCAGTTTGCCAAGCCTGACCCTCCCCTTCAATGGACGGACTCAAGTTCGCCTAATACGATTTCCTTGGGGTACCTGGCGTCATCTTACAGACCCAAAATAGGTTCCAACATGTACAGAGGTCTCTTTGTGACAGAGCATGCAGGCTATGCAGGCTATGCAGGCTATGCAGCTTAAGGATGCAAAGAAAGGCCAAGCATGAAGAATGTTCCCAAGTCACAGAGCAACAGCCTTTGTTGGTGCTCATGCTGCGCAGAAGAACGCGTGACGTGAGGAGATGAAGACGACGCATGACCTGTGTAACAAAAGGGCTTTTTCTTTTTTTTGTAGCCCGCTCCTCCCCGCGCCGGGGGGGGGGGGTAGGGGTAGGCCGTAGCTTTATACAAATCTTTCATATGGTAAGGCCAGAATCCTTGAATAAAAAAAAGCCAAACACGTCAAACACGTCAAAACCATTCAAACATAGACCACAGCTCGAAAAAGTCAAAAAAAGTCAAAAAAGTCAAACAAGTCGAACAACACAGTCAAACAAACAATGTAAAAAAACGTCAACAAAAAGTCAACCACTCGAAAAATCAAAAAGTCGAAAACAAGCAAAAAAGCCAAACAGTCAACAATTGAAAAAACAAACGGTCGAAAACAGTCAATAAAAGTCAACAAAGACAGATCCGGGCAAAATGTTTTTTTTTTTTTGCTTTCTGAAACTTTCTGATTTGATTTCTTTTTTACTTTGTCTTTTGGGATTGACCTTTTTTGATATTTTTTTGTTTATTGTTATTATTATTGTTATTTTTTTTGTTAAATTTTGAAAACAGGCTCTCTCCAATGAAAGATGTTTATAACCGTAGCTAGTAGCTACAAGTAGCTACTGCTTAGGATGCAGGATAGCGCTCGCACTAATGATTTGGTTCCTAGATTTTTAGAGAAACTTAACATCTAGCTACTCAAAGAGAAAGGTCCAAAGAAGGCCCAAAGTATCCTTAAACAAAGAAAGAACACATATATTTTTGTTACTACAGGTGAAAGGATTCCCAGTGAAATGATTCTCAGTTTGGGACACTTGGAAGAGTCGCAAGTCTTTTTGAGAAAGACCTGCAACCTAACCATCATCCACTGGGCCCGAACAAGATAGGTTGGCACCAACTCCAACAAAAACCAAGACGTCCAATGGACCGAAGACCAGTGGTCCGACTTGACCCAAGACATAGAGCAAGACACCGCCCTTTTCGCATGATGCGAGGAAGCAGTTGGCCAAGACATGCAGTTGTGATGCTCGATCGTCGATCGTTCGCTGGATGGAACATCAACGTGCAAAACGCAGAACCAACATTTTTGGGGTCTTGCATCCGGCTGAAAGATGCTGAACGTATGTCAACCTTTTGTCGTGTTGTCTCAGTCATCTTCTGTCGTCTTAGCCTGGTAGACACTTCATCTGAACAGCTTGTGATGCCAAAGTCTTACAGCTGTACAGTCCACATCAGCTTTTCAGATGGACATCATATGACTAACAATAAGCTACTAGGAACAAGTGCATCGCTACTAGTAACAAGTGCCTTACTAGTAGTGACAAGAAGCTAGTAGAAACAAGTGATGCAGGGTGCCGCACCCCGCGTGCGCCGTCCGCCGTCCGCACCGATGTCTCAGGGTGGCGGCCTGAGGACAGTCTGGTACTCAGAGTCTGGCCGGGAAATGTCAGGACGACGGGTACCATGGTTCTGTTGTTAGGCATAGGGAAGATAGGGAAGGGGGCACTGTTCTCCCAATCTGAAAGACAGAAGCAACCTTATTGATTAAACCCGATCGACTGATCTGAGATGCGGCTCAAACTCGAGAAGCCGATTGTCTCGATCCATTGTGGGCTGTGAAGCCCTTCCATATTTGTGTTACTGTATGCCATGGGCGCAGAGCCTGCCTATCCACTTTGCATGGGATACCGTTGACCTCTTACTTTTCTACTACTGGCAGGTGTCATACCTGCCTCATGTTGCGAAAACGGATCAACAAGACTTCCAAAGAACTTCTTGGACAGTCCTGGGGATCGGTGCCTTCATTTTGCTTGTTGGCATTGCACCAATAATTCAACAACGAACGTGAAGTCGATCAGATTTCGATGCCCTTCATGAACGGGGCTCAAGTTGTCAGGGCTAGGCGCCATGGTGGTGGGTGGTGACGTAGTGTTCGTTAGCTGCCGAGGAAACCAGGGACTTGTGAGAGTCCGCGGCCGTGCGGTGGAGGTGGATGGAGACTTAGGAGTGGTCGTCTTGGCCTGTCAGAGCTCAATTGGCCGTCACCTCGACCAAAAGATAGAGGCCGGCGAGGAAGGCAAGCGTCTCACTTTTTTGAAAGTTCCACTCTCTGCTGCCAGCACAAAAACTCCACCTGGGTGGGGGTCAGTCGTCGGAGGCTCTGCTCCAGAGTTAGACGAAGCTCTCCCACTATGGGACAAGGTGTCGAAAGAAATGGCACTGGAAAGCAGCGAAGCCGAGGTGCAGTCCCCGGCTATGCAACCCAAAAAAGTGAAAACCTCAATGGCGGCGGCTGGTGGTCGCAAAAGTCAGCCGTCTGGTTTAGCGGAGGAGCTGCAGCGAATGCAGCAGGACCTGTGGGGAAAGTCGGGGGGGGGGGCAGCAGCGAAGACGAAAGCAGCGAAGAAGAGACAGAAGAAGAGCTTCCCCCCCGTTCTCGCAAGCACTTGGCTCCAGGTGCGAGTGCGTTAAAGAAGCCTTCGAAGAAGGACTCAGCTGCGTCCAGCAGCAAGTCGAAGCGAGACAATCCGCCCGGTCTCGAAGAAGTGATGGGGCAAGCAGTCGCTTCCGGCGCGGACGCCACTCAGCTCCTTCCCATGATGATGATGGCCTACATGATGAAGCAAGACAAGGCGGCCGAGGAAAAGAAGAAGCGAAGCAGAAAGAAGGGCAGGTCCCTTGGTGGTTCCGGCTCCGACACCTCAAGCGAGACGGAGGACGAAGAGGCCGGTGGGTTGAAGGCAGTCGACGCCTTGAACCACATGCATCGGCGGATTACCCGTCACCCGAAACGATTGATTCGGGAATTCGAAAAGACAATCGTGGAAGAGCTTGGGGTAGTCCCAGGACAAGCTTGGAGTGTAAAAGAGTGGGTTCGGAAGCAGAACTTCGGCAAGTTCAAGGGGCTGTACCGGGCGACTATGATGGACGTGGCTGTGTACGAGTTCTTGAGAGGCGGCGACGAAGCAGCGGCAGCTGCCCAGTTGACTCAGAACATCAAAGCCAAGATCCAGTGCTGCTTGGCCGGAGGAGATTGGTCCACAGCATGGTTGCTGACAGGCCTGCAAGACCCGCTGCTTCGCCGCGAATGGGCGGGAACGCGGGAAGAGATGTCGATCGTCAGCGGCTATGTCCGAGCATTATCCAAGGTCAGGAAGCATGTCAAAGAGGCGCACCAGAGCGCCGAGACGAAGGAAGACCAAGAGTGAGCCCTACAAAGTGCATGCGTTTTCCCTGGGAACGGGGGAGGAATTCAAAGTTTTTGAAGTTCTTTGACTGGCAGAAGAGTGTCCACAGTAGCGAGCCGGTTCTGACTGGCTATGTTGAACAAGCACCACTTTTCCCTTGCTCCTTGCCGTTCCCCGAGGCTTTCAAAGTCAGTGGGGAGGCAATCGCTGGCGAAGCGAGACGGTTGCATTGGGCCAAAGCTTACTTGAATTTTTGGGTAGCATGGTCTAACTACATCGTCCTGGGTTGCCCTGATTGTCGGGGGAAGACTAGAGAGCCGCGAGGAGGCTTTGTAAAGTCTGCTGAAGTGCACACACTTTGCATGAGCTTGCTTGGCGAGGTGGTCGAATTCATCGATGTAGGTTTTTGTACAGAATCGGTGAGCTTTGATGGTAGCCGTTCCGTTGTGGATGAGGCTTTGACGAGCTTGCAGAAGATGGATGCATGTTCAGGTGCAGGCGAAGAATCCGGGAGACTTGCCCGGAAGCTGAATGTCGCCATTCCGGTGGTGTCTGAACGTGTGGCAATCCCAGCGAAGGCCGGATCAGTTGACCCGCTGGCCTGGTTGCCACCAGAAAGGAGAAGTGTGGTAGAAGACTTGGGGCAGCTTTGTTTGGCAGAACCTTTGGGAGGAGGGCCTGCGCGTCCCTGTCACCAGGTGTCTGAGAAGGAGGAAAAGAAGTTGATCCAGCGCTTGTTAGCTGCGCAAATGATCACCCTGGTGTCGGAGGACGAGCTAGAGCGCACTGCAGATGGTAGATTGTTGGTTGGTGGCTTTTTCTGCGTTCGAAAGAACAATGTCGAAGACCGGTTGATCTTTGATAGGCGGCCAGCCAATGCTATGATGCAGCGCTTGGATTGGGCTCATCTCCCGGCCGGAGCCTGCCTGGCAAAGCTGCTTCTGGAGCCTGACGAGTTCCTTCGTGGCTCGGGAGATGACTTGAGAACGTACTATTTTTCTTTGGCTCTCCCACAGAATGCCTATAAGTTCAATGCTGTAGGTCGTAGGGTTGACCCCAAATTGGTCGCTTCCCTGGGAAAAGACCCCTCTGTTCCGCATCGAGCAGCTATGCGAGTCTTGGGTATGGGAGATTCAAATGCCTGCGATATTGCGCAAGCAGTTCACGAATACGTGTTGGAGCAGCATGGTCTCCTTTCCCCCCAGTCAAAAATGGTCTATGGACGCCACCTTCCTGATGGACCCACGCTGGAAGGGGCCTACCTGGATGACCTACTAGTGATTGGTCGCGTAAAAGCAGGAAGAGATGTGGAAGTGGATGGCTCTTTTGAACCTCCAGAGCCGCGACCTTCGGATCCGGACATGCGGCAAGTGAGAGCAGCAGAGTTAGCTTATGAGCACGCCGGCTTGGAGCGAGCTTTGCATAAGTCTTTTCGAGCTGAGCTGAACTTCAAAGCATGGGGAGCAGAGATAGATGGTGTGAAAGGCACAGCCGGCGTGCCAATAGCGGTCCGTCGGCAAGTGTGGCATCTCTTTAGCCGGGTGGTAGTGATGGGCAAGGGCACTAAGAACTTGTTGCAACGGTTGCTGGGGTACGCTGCTTTTTGCTTCCAGTTTCGACGGGAATGTTTTTCATTACAACACCATGTATACAAGTACTTGGATAGTCTGACCGACGACAAGGTGTATAGGTTTCCTGGTTTTGTATTAGATGAACTGCGGGGAATGATGCTACACCTTCCATTTTGTTGCTGGAATATGAGACGTTCTTTTGCGGAAGAGATCATAGCAACGGATGCAACGCCCAGTTCAGGAGGAGCAACAAAAGCTTGCCTGCCAAAGGCCCTTGCTCAGAAGTTGTGGAAGCACACAGAGGTTAGGGGCGAAGCCGTCCGCCTAGACCGCGATGCTTCTGAATTTGATTGGGTCATGGGAAGAGAACCGCGTGAACCTTCCCGCTTTGCTAGCCAAGTAGGAGAAAGTCTGCAGTGGAGGATTGCTTCAAGCTATCACTTTAGGCACACAGCTCACATCAACCTACAAGAAGCACGGGCAGTGAAGCGAGAAGTGGTGCGGCTGGCCAGCGCTCCTCTTTCCCGTGATCGGGTGCATTTCTTTTTGAACGATAGCAGAGTGGTGGTGGGCGCCTTTACAAAAGGTAGGTCCTCTTCTTTTCGGTTGAACGGGCTTCTTCGATCGACGTTGCCGTACCTCATTTTGTCACGCATGGTTCTGGGCTTCCTTTGGGTGGAGACGGACAGCAACCCAGCTGATCACCCTTCCCGTTTTCGTGAACTTCCTTGGCAAAAACCCCCTCCTCTTTGGATGCGGAAGCTAGGCGTCGATTTTTTGGCAAAGCCTGGGCTGGAAGTTTTTACGGAAAGTGCAAGGCTGACTCAAGCTTGTTTGCAACAAGGCTTGTCCATGTTCGAACCTGTAGACGCCAGCGCTACGTGGATCGAAGAGGCAATTTGTCAAAAGAAAATTGGTTGGATATGGTTAGCCCCTCCGTGTGCCACGTTCTCTGCACTCAGAAATTTGGACAGAGGAGGGCCCTTACGGCCACGTGGCAACCTTCTGGGGAACGAGAGGAACCCCGACATAGCGCTGGGAAACTTTTTGTGGCGACGCGCGTTGTATTTGGCTGAACTTGCGTACAGGCATGGAGTTTTCTTCTTTTTGGAGCATCCACGCAGCAGTAAAGCCTGGCAACTAAAGGATACACAGCAACTCGTTTCCTTGCAGGGTACTTCATTGCATGAGTTCCATTGGTGCATGTATGAAGATTGTGAGCGCGCAAACAAGCCAAACAAAAAGCCCACAAAGATTCTTAGCACTGGGCCTTGGTTAAAACACATAGTTCGTGTATGCAATGGCCAACATGAACATGGCACGCCGCTGAGGGGTGACCGGGCTAAGCTGGGCGGGGCTTATCCGTGGGGCTTCTGCGAGCAGTTTGCAAACGCGCTGTTGTTTTGGTATGGTGCGCCTGAGGAATGTTGGCTTGACCAGAGCCTACAGGCGAAATCTTGCTGAGGCAGCATCGTCGTTGGAGCGGAGGGTTCGTCGAGGGGGGCACATTCTTTCGAGGTCCACTCCATCCCCGCAAGCAGATAGATGGCTAGAGAGGGCTGTTGAAGAAGCTCACTGCGAGGGAGAACGGCTGTATTGGGTGACTCTCGGGCTGTTGGGTGTACAAAGGTCACTACATCTTTCAGGGTCATGTTTACGGGGAGCTTGGCGAGCTGTTCAAGGATGGCGCTCTTTGAGGCCAGTGCGGTCGCGTGTGCCTATAACCCTATGGTCGCTTGAAGGGGCCGTGTTAGCATGGCTGTGGTTGGGGTGGCGAGAAGAGGGTTGGATGCGCCGGCAATACTGGACCTGCGCAATGGCTTCTTGGTTAGCTTTTTGGTGCCTCCTGCGGCCATCTGAGATTCTCAACCTACGTGTTTCGGACCTTTCTTTTCCCCAGGGCGGTGAAGCGTTGCGAGACCCAGGGATAGTGGTGATGGTGCGGTCCCCTAAGACGCGCCGTATCTGGCACAGACAGTTTGTGTTGTGCAGTGAGCCGCGAGTGTGTAGGTGGTTGCGCTGGTGGGTGGCCGACAAGAAGCACACTAGCAAGATTTTTCCTGGCACACGCTACTTGTGGGACAAGCATTTCAAAGAGGGTTTGCGGTTTCTTGAGTTGGAAGCTTGCTCATACACACTGGGGAGTATGCGTGCTGGGGGTGCCACTCATCATTTTCGCGTGCACAGCAACCTGAGCGTTTTGCAATTTCACGGTCGGTGGTCTTCAGCAAGTACGTTGCAGTTCTACCTCCAAGAAGCTTTTTCGACACACATAACCTCACAGCTGAAACCTAGCACTTTGGAGAAGTTGACCATGTTGCACAATTTTGACCACATGCTCAACACCCCGCCTCAGTTCAGTCTCAAAAGTTTGTTGGGGGTCGGAGCACATGCTTGGTAAAGTTGTTGCAGATGGGCAGGTCCCACTCTAGCCAGGGGGAACGCTCTCAAGTCCAAGCGCCGCGGCGGCGCACAGAGCGGAAGCGAAGCTCATCTCCAAAGCATAGCCAGCAAAGGGGCAGGCAAGCAAATCGAGGTGATCTTCCACCCCCCTCGTTAGAGGACCCTGGTAGCTCAGCTGGAGGTGTTTTGGCGCGGCGAGGTCAAGTGTTGCGCGCAGTGGAACTCGCTTCAAACGAACTGACCCCAGAAGAGTTGGCAGCTTTAGACGACCCTGGGTTTAGACAGCAGGCTGCAAGATGGCGTTCTGGCAGTGGCTCACGGCGGGTCTCGGCGGCCTTCGCCCGCCTGTTGACATCTCTGTATACTATTTTCCCTGGCTGGGCCACGGCTGATGGGTTGGCACAGTCGGCAGCCCCGCCCATAGTCGAGGCCTTGCCCTTTGACCAGAGTTCTCAGCCTTCGTTGCGGGTGTGGTGGCTTCGCTTCAGCATGGGCTGGCAAAGCTCCCTGAGATGGATGGTTAGTTATCGGAGGACTCTGTGGGCACTTTTGCTGTTGCTCTTATTTCCGCGTGTGGTGGCCGCTCTCATCGCTACTGTGGTGCGCCTCTTCATTCGGTTGATGCTCGCAATTACCACTCGACTCCTTCGTGATCTATGGCTCGAGCTTGGTGGTGTGGTGAACCAGTTGTCTTCCGTGTCTCAGGGAGTGGAGACCGCTTTGATGTCCCAACTGGAGCAAATCTTGGTAGATTGGTGGCCTCCGGCCACTTCTCAACCCTCCCTCCAACCGGCTGACCCTCCTGCCGGGACGCCTGCCGGCGCCTCCGTGCCGCTTGGGGGGGGGCTGGCCCCCCCGCCCAGTCCCCTCTTCACCAACCTCTTGCTGGCGGCCAACCTTTTCTTCCAAGTGCGTGCCCACCGCCGGGGTGGGGTGGCATAGCATAGCAAGGTTTCACTTTGAGCATGCGGAGCGCTTCTT